ACGCAATGGATCGGAAGCTGGAACTCAACTGACTGAGGTGCCATCCGCCAGAGGCGCATCAGGATCGCCACTGGCAACGGGGCTCCCGCCAATCAATGGGCGGGAGCTCCAGCTCCCACCAGCAACATGGGATCAGCAGGAAGAGTGGCCCCGGCAGACTGGATGGCAATCTTGGCAAGACCGCGACTGGCGCGACGGTGGCAAGGGCGGCAGGAAGAACAGAGACAACGCCGACCATGACGACAATAGGTCCAGGTGGATGCAATCTCCCACCATCGGGAACCGCCCGCTCAAGGCCGACGTGCAAGTAATGGTGGCCGTCAGTCGATTCAGCTCTGCTCCTGTCCCTGGCCACTCGTTCGGCGTTTCTCCCTTCGCCCCCCCTCTTCGCAGACAGTGCGACCGCTAGTCGTCCCTGGCAGTTCTCCCTGCGCATGTGCGCTCGCGGCTGGGGGGGCCCTCTCTCTCCCTCGGACTGCGTGTCCGTCTGTCGCCCCTGGCCGGGGCCCCCCTCCCTTGCCGCCCCCCCCCCCCCCCCTCTTCGCAAACCGTGCGACCGTTGGTCGTCCCAGTTCACTCGGCTCCACGGAACAGAAAGAGAGCCACAGGCGCGAGGGGCGGACGCATCCACCAGGGGCCGAGGGGATCGGAGCCCGGCGCCAGCGGCGAGGTGGGGGCCAGACACGGCCAGGCAAGGCGGCGACTGGGGACCAGGGTCAGGGAAGTGCAAGCACTCGCGCCGGCACTGGTCAAGACGCGCGAGGCGAGGGCGTCGCGAAAGGGCCAGAGCCAGGGAAACCGAGCCAGGCCGTGGCTAAGTCCGGGCCTTGGCCAAGGTGGAAACAGCTCTGCAACGGCCAGGGCAGCAAAGCACGTCCCGCCCCGCCCCAGCGGGGGCGGCGCACCCGGCATTGACGGCGACCGGGGGCCAACTCCCCAAGGCGGGGAGGCCGAGCCAGATACCGCGCCGAGGCCAACGCAGGGCGACACTGGACCAGCGGCGGGGGCCTGAACCGCGCAGCTGCCAGGCGCGGCGAAGGCCAAGGGGGGCAGGTGCAAGGGGGACCGAGCAGGGCCATGGCCAGGTCCAAGCAAAGGCCTGAATGAAAACAACTACAACAATGGCCAGGGCCGCGAGGCGCGCCGTCCCCGCCCCGGCGGGCCCCGCGCACCCAGTGTTCAGGTGTCGTGCGTTCTGACCAGGTCCAGCGCGAGTGCACTTCCCTGGTTTCTGGTTGTCAGCTGGCCACATGGGGCACAGGCCCGCCGGTTCATTCAGGAGCTGTTCAGCCTTCTTGAGCGGCCGGGCGCGCCACCTGTCGGACTGCTGCCCTGTCCTCTGGCGCCCGGTCGCGGCAAGGACCAATTCATGTGCCTGGTGATTCGGCTCCCATGGCACTCGCGCGTCTCTGCATCCTGGCAGCCTCCGCAGCAAGCAGTCCTCACCCTCGGCGCAGCTTAGCCCCGGCGCGGCCGCTTCCCCTGGCGGTGGGTCGTGCCTGCCCGGCACGCGCGCCGGCAATCAGGTTGCTCGTGGCCCGAGCCAACTCTGCTGACGCTGCCGGCGCCTTCGCCTGCGGCCGCGACGAAAAAGTATCCCCGCCAGCTGTGGGACTTTGCTCTCGGCGAGGCGCGCTGGGTCGCCCTCCTGGCTGGCGGCGTCTTATCAGCTGCTGCAGCTGCTGCCAAGTCTGGGTTGCGGATGGCTGTCGCGCTGCGGCCTGCATATTTGGCGGTGGCGCCCTTGCTCCTCGTCGGCGCGATGGCCGCGAGAATTCATGGCGATGGTGTTCGGCAAGGGCGCGCTGCTGGATAGTTAGGGACCCCCCCGCTCGCTGAAGGCGCTGTTCGGTGTAAGGTTTCCTTGGGGAAGCTCGGATTCGGCGGTGGTCTCGGCTGGACCTCGGCACGGGCTTGTCATTGCGGGCAGCTGGCTGCTGGGCCCCCAGCCGTCCGCCGCGCCCCCGCGCGGGTTGCCCGCTGCTGCGGCGCCGCGCTCGTCTTCCTGGCGCCGCGGGATCGCGGTCGCTTTGGGGCGCCTCATTTCACGGCGTCGCCGCGACGGCCACAGCAGCTGCCTCCAGGTCTCGGCGCGCGGGGCGCCCTGATGGCTAGTCGCGCTGCTCGTGGCTTTTCCCCCAGCTCTGTGCCTGCCCCTGCCTGGGGGGCCTCCGACTTGCTCGCTGGGTGGCGCGAAGCGGCCGCAGCCCGACCGACTGCCGCTTCCTCCTGGCATGGCAGCTCTTCACCGCGCCGTCGCTGCCCGACTACGCGTCCTACCACCTGGGGACCTGGATGCCGTTTGTCTCCTCGGCGTTCGCTCGATGCGTCTCTTTGCGTCATTTTTTTTATTTTTCGAGTTCGACGATCTTACCTGGATAGCATGTTCACGGGCGCCAGATCCTCGCGTTTTTTTTGGCTGCCGCATGTTTGCTGGCCATGTTTGGCTGCCGGTTTTTCTTGGGCACCTTCTTCGGCAATTGCGTCCAGGGGAGGCCGAGCTGCTGACCTTCCATGTGTGTGGTCGCTCTCCCATGCTGCACCTCCGTCCTAATCGGCACCTTGGTGGGCGAGTTGTTGATGCTGATGTTCGACGCCTCCTGCGCCATTTTGGCTGCGTCGTGTCCAGCTCCGCTGTGTGACGGGCGCCGTTTGTTTCGCTGTTTTTCCTTTGCTTCGGCGCGGCCCGCCCTAGTTTGCTCGGCGTTCGACTCGTCTTCGCGCGCCCGCGTGCGAAAAAAAATTAACCCCACCAGCCTATCCAACACAGACTCCAGGCGAGTTGCGATGATCGCGGATGTGTAGCAGCCCGCGGCCCGGCAGTGGACGGCGTCCGCTCCGTTGCGCCCGCTTCGCGGCATTTCATGGTTTTCTTGGTCAACCGTTTGCCTCTTGTCGCTTGCGGTGCCTGTATCGCGTCGCGCGTGCCTGGGTCCGCCTTGGTAGAGTGGTTGCATGTCGTTGCTCGCCGTGCGTGCGTCGCTTTGGGAGCGTCTTGGAGGCATTTCGGGGGCATCGTGGGGCGGCCCCAAGATGACCCGAAGAGGGCCATCGTGGAGGCCTCTTGGGCTCTCTTGGGGATCTCTTGGGGCCTTCTTGGGGCTCGCTTGGGGCTCTCTTGGGGCCCTTTTGGATAAGAGGGAGGCCTCTGGGGCCCTCTTGGGGCCATCTTGGAAGCCAGCGGTCACATGAGGGGGTTGGTCTCGTGGGGGCCTCTCGGGGCGTTCTCGGGGCCGTTTCGGAACCATTCTGGGCCCCTCGCGGGGCCCTCTTGGGTCAATTTGGGGACAGTTTGAGGCCTCAAGAGCTTATCGGGAGCGATTGCGCGAGACGGCACACCACATTGAAATACCACAGTGGTTTTGACGGACGTTGGCCTTTTTGGAAGCCTCATGTGGAGGCTCGGATGGTATGTGGGGCCTTCCTGGGGCGATCTTGAGGGCCCTTGGAGGCATATTGGAGGCTATCTTGGGCTATCTTGAGCGACCCTGGAGGCCATCGTGGACTCTCTGGGGCCCTCTTGGGGCCATCTGATGCTAAAAATGACCCTCTGTCACCTCATGGGGGTGGTGGTTTCAGACCCAGGGGGAGTGGCTAGGGGGAGGATGACCCCTTTCCCCCAAGGGGGGAAGAAACGGGGTTAGCATGACGAGTTCGTTAGACCACTCACGCGCTAAAGGGTTGGTGGATTCAGTCGCGTCAGACCTGTTCCCGCCCCCAGTGGGCCATGGCATCGCAGCCCCACCGCCCACCGTCTTAGGGTGTGATGGGGCCCGCGAAACCCGATTGATCAGTCACATATGTGGATAGTTTTTAATTCATTGTTTTGCCGATCGGCGCGGGCCTTCGCATCCCCCCTATCGCACTCCCCTCTTGGCTGTATTGGGCGCCCGTTTCGAGCAGGTGGGGCTTCCCCCCAGAGGCCGCACGGTTCCAAACTGCCGCATTAAGCAGAGTTCTAGAGCCAGACCCCCCTCCTCCTCCCCCCTTCCGCCCAATGTCGAAACGCCGAATAAGAAACCGCCCACCTCGTGTTCGCTCAGGGCCCACTGCCCCCCTCCCCCCCAAGATGGGATGGGTCTAAATGCCCCGCGCCCCCCCCCCAGACGACGACGACGCCGACGCCGACGACGACGACGACGACGCCGACGCCGACGAACACGACAACGACGACGACGACGACGACGACGACGACGACGATGACGACGCCGCCGCCGCCGACGCCGCCGCCGACGACGACGACGACGACGTCACCGCAGCGCCACCCCACACCTTCATGGGGTGGGGGGACCCATGGGGGGGGGGAGGGAAGGTGCCGATCCCGTGATGGTGTGGGGGAGGGGTGGCCCTGGCCTCGGCACATTTGCCCCCGCCTAGGGGGTTAGGTCGGATAGGGGGCTCCCTGCTGCCGCACCCTGCTGCCCCCGCTCCGCACCCTGCTGCCCCCGCTCCCGCTCCTGCTTGTGCCGCGTCTCGGAGGCCACGGCCCGCACGCCATGCCCTGCTGGGCACGGCAGGCGGGCTCCCCAGAGGAACGCGCACGACTCCAGCGGCAGGTTCGCTTTCGCTGCCTCCCTCGCCCTTTCTCGTTTTTTTCCTGCCTCGCGCGGCCCCGCCCTTCCCGTTCCTTCCTCGTCCTTTCTCCCTTCCTCCCCGTCCTCGTCCTTCCTCAGTCGTCCTTTCTCGCCCTCGTCCTTCCTCGCCCTTCCTCCCTCTTCCTCCCCGTTCCTCTCTCGCCCTGCCCCCGTCCGCTCTCGTCCTCTCCCGGCCCTCCTGTTCTCCTCTCTTCTCGCCTCCTCCCTCGCGAGGGCCCCTCGCGAGGGCCCCTCGCGAGGGCCTCCCCCCTCGCGAGGCGGCCTCCCCCCCTCGCGAGGGCCTCCCCCTCTGCCCCTTCGGCCTCGCGCGGCCTCCCCCTCGCGAGGGCCTCGGGCCTCCTGCGCGCCGCCGCGCGGAGGCCCCCCGCGCCCCCCCGCGGCCTCTTGCGGAGGGCCGCCGCGCAG